GGAAGAGAAATGAAGATATTGCTTAGGTAAATTGACAACAAAAAAGACACAGAAAACCACAGACTTAAGAACTTTAAGCATAATAAAAATAAAGAAAACCAGGGGCTGGGGATTTAGCTCAGTGGTTCGGTGGCCTGCCTTGCAAGCACAAGGACCCAAGTTCAATCCCCGGTACCAAAAAAAAAAACAAGAAAAGAAAAGAAAAACACATCCATGGGTGTCATAATAAAATTACTGAAAACCAAGTACAAAGAAAAATTTAAAGCAGAAAGATAAAAAGACATATTACCTTCAAGAAAACAAAAAATAGACTGACAGCAAACTTTTCAACAGAAAAAAACCAAGAAGATATTAGAATAAGAAATTCAAAGTGCTAAAAGAAAAACAAAACTTAGATGGGTAGAATTCTCTGCCCATCTAAAATACCCTTCAAGGATAAAGATGCAATGAAGCCACTGTCATAAAAATATAAACAAAGAAATTCTCAAGGACAGATTCTCATCAAAGGATATTCTAGGGGGTATATTTTATGCAAAAAATGATCCTAGATGAAAGATTAGAGATGTACAATGAAATAAAAATCATCAAAAAAGTGTAAATCCTTAGTCAGTGATGGTGAACCTTTTAGAGCTTTCAGTATCAAACAGCTGGCTATGGCGCAGGTACCATAGGTTCGCCACCACTCACTTAGGTCAATCTAAATGCATATTAGCTATGCAAAACAACAATAATAATGTCATATATGGCTTAAAATATATAAGATTAAGATATATGATGATAATTGTTTACAAGTCAGAAGGAGGTAAATGAGGTATTATCCAGGGAAAAAGTTAATACATTAATATTAGAGTTTGATGAGTCAAATAATATATTGTAATTTCCAAAGAATGCAAAAAAAGATAGCAAGAATGGATAGTATAGAAAATGAGGTATACTTTCCAACTAAAAAGGAGGGAAAAATAAGGAAAAAGACAAGGATATCCATTCTCACCCCTCTTACTTAATATAGTTCTTGAAATTTTAGCTAGAACATCTAAGCAAGAAAAAATATTTCAAGAGATACAAATAGGAAAGGAAGAAGTCAAATTATCTTTCTTTGTAGATGATATGATCCTATACTTAGAAAATCTACCAAAAGATCTACCAAAAGGCTTTTAGAGATGATTGTGAATTCAGCAATGGAACAGGATACAAATCAACATGAAAAAAAATCAATAGCTTTCCTATATGCCAATAATAGACTAGCTAAGAAAACAAACAGAAAACAATTCTACTCACAATAACTTCAGAAAAAATATCTAGCAAGAACATCAGGGTAGCTTAGTTGTAGAGTACTAACACTAGCATGCACAAGGTCCTGGGTTCAACCTCATGTACCAAAGGAAAAATACCTAGGGATTGTCTAACCAAGGAAGTAGAAGACCACTACAATGAAAACCTCAACACTAACAAATAGCAAAATTTAATACTGTCAATATGGTCATATTATCAAAAGTGATCTACGCAGTTAATGCAACAACCATCATAATGCCAATGACATTCTTCACAAAAGTAGAAAAAACAATCCTGAATTCAAAATACAAAATAGCCAGAATAGCCAAAGCAATTTTAAGCAAAAAGACCAAGGTTGGGGGCATCATAATATTTAATTTCAAATTATACTACAAAGCCATAGTAATAAAACCAGCACAGCAGGAACATAAAAATAAACACATAGATCAATTTGAATAGAACAGAAAGCACTGAAATAAACCTATGCAACCACTGCTATCTAATTCTGGAGAAATACATGTCAATGAAAAGACAGCCTCTTTAACAAATGATGCTGGAAAAATTGGATATCTACTTGCAGAAGATTGAAACTAGATGACTATCTCTCAACTTGTACAAAATTTGATTCAAAATGGATCATAGACCTACATATAAAACCTGAAACTTTGAAACTGATAAAAACATATGGGAGACACTTGAAGCCATAGGCACAGGCAATGATTTTGTAAATAGGACTTCACTAGCCCAAGAAATCAACAAATGGGACTAACTACATCATATTAAACAGTTTCTGTACAGCAAGGAAAACAGCTAGCAGAGAGAAGACATGGCTTACACAGGGGGAGAAAATCTTACCAGCTGCTCTTGTGACAGAAGATTAATATCTAGAATATATGATGAATTTAAAAACAACACTAAAAACTCAAATAGTCCAATAAATAAATGGGCAAATTAAATTGAACTGACATACCTCAAAAGAAAAAGTACAAATGGTCAACAAATATATGAAAAACTATTTAACTACTTGAGCCATAGGAAAATGCAAATCAAAACTAACAGTGAGATTCCATTTCAGCCCAGTCAGAATGCCTATCAAGATACAAAAAACCAAAATAAATATTTTATTTTTTTATTTATTTTTAAATTAATTTTATTGGTACATTTAAGGTATACAATGTAATGACATTCATCATTGGATATTTGCACCTTTATATAATCCATCTTGGTTCTTATTTTTTCCCCATTCTCCTGTCCTCCCTTCAACCCCTCCACCCTCCCTATCTACAAAGACTTTGTTTTTTCCATTTTTTCTTTTTCTCATGGTAATTCCATTCCCATATTTCTTTTCCATTACCTTTCCCCTTTCCCCTTCCCCTTTGCCCTTTTCTTCCTATTTCACATTATCTATTATACCTTTTAATCCTTATTTATACTTTCAGTTTCTCCAGCCTTGAGAAAACAATCCAAACACTCATTTGGAACATGAAGAGAACTAGAATAGCAAAAGCAATTCTAGGCAATAAAGACATGGCAGAGGGTATCACAATGCCCAACTTAAAACCATACTACAAAGCTACTGTGATAAAAATAACATGGTACTGACAAAGAAACAGATATGAGAACCAGTGGAACAGATTAGAAGATGCAGAAACAACTCCAGACACACTCAGCCACCTCATCTTGACAAAGGAGCCAAACACCCTCACTGGAGGAAAGATAGATACCCTCTTTAATAAATGGTGCTGGAAAAATTGGGTTTCAACATGCCAAAGATTAAAACAGGACCTATTATCTCTCACCATGCACTAAACTAAAATCAAGATGGATTAAAGATGTAAACATTAAAACAGAAACACTAAACCAGCTGGAAGAGAGGTTAGATAGAACTCTTGAAGACATTGGTGTAGGAAAAGATTTTATGAACAAAACCTCAGTTGCCCTTGAACTAGCACAAACAATCAACAATTGGTTCTCTTCTTATTAACAAGCTTCTGCACAGCAAGAGAAACCAGTAAGAGTGTGAAGAGACAACCCAAACTGTACTATCTACCCAGAATGTACCAATAAATTCAATTAAAAAAAAGAGACAACCCAAAGTGTGGGAAAATTTTTTTATCAGCTCTTCCTCAGACAAAGGCCTACTATCTAGAATATATAAAGAACTTAAAAAAAATCAGACCTCCCAAATTTAAAGACCCAATCCACAAATGGCCATCTGAAATGAAAAGATATTTCTCAGACAAAGATGTAGAAATAAAGAATAAACATTAAAAAAAAAGGAATGTTCAGCATCACTGGTCATTCGAGAGAAGCAAATGAAAACAACTCCAAGATTCCACCTCACCCTAGAAAGAATGGCTGCTATCATGAAATCAACCAATGACAAAACACAATAAATATTGGTGAGGATGTAGCAGGGAAAGGGATGTTAATTAGTAGAGCCACTGTAGAAATCAGTATGAAAGTTTCCCAAAAAACTAAAAATAGAGCTACCCTCTGATCCAACGATATACTGCCCATGGTATACCACTCTGAAGCAGTTTAAAGTCAGCACACTATAGAGATGACATATAACATAACTGCATTTACTGTGGCACAATTCACAATAGCCAAGATATGAAACCAGCCCAAGTGCTCATCAACAGATAAATGGATAAAGAAAATGTGGTATACATATATATATACAATGGAGTATTATTCAGCCACAAGGAAGAATGAAATTCTTACTTGAAGAAAAATGGATGGATCTACAGACCATATATTGAGCAAAAGAAGCCAGACTCAGAAAGACAAATATCACATTTCCCTTAATATGTGGACTCTTAAAAAATGACCAGAAAGGAGAAAAGAGACTATTATTAAACAAGAGGAAGTTAATAAGAGGAATGAGGTATAAGGATGGGGTAATGGTAGATGGATATGAAAAATATATTCATTAACCCCCCCCCGAAAATGTGAAACTTGGGAAGGCGAGTCAAGGAAAATGGGGGTGTTGTGAAAATGATCAAAATATGTTATGTACATGGACAAATTTGCCAAAATAAAACTCATTAATCTGTATAGCCAATTTTAAAAAGTGAAAAGAGAGGTAAAAATGAAATAATTAGAAAGGCTCAGGCTGTGTAGCGTTATGCAATGACACCATATGTAATACAGCCGAGATACATTTTATTGGCAGCCACTTTATGCCAATCAATGCCAACACTTATAAAAAAATTTGGATAGATGTGTTATATAATGAATTTTTGAACTTTAAAATCCTTTCTCCACAAAACAAAATTTAGAATAATTCATAACTTCACTGAGTCATTATATTTTTCAAAAATGTGAATTAAACTTTGTGACAATTTACTTGAAGAATTGAGAATTTAGAAGTTCTGGTATCTATCAGAAAATAGGAAATAATTAATTTCTGTTACCTTCAGTGTTTTAATCTGATTATTTAGGAGTATCATCCCACAGCAGGGCTCTGATACGTAACATGGATAGTATGACTTGGTTACACAAATTCCAACATCTTACTAGTCTCAAACACAGAAGATGGAAGATGTATATAAATGGAAATACTAAGTTTGATCACATAACACCATACTGCTACAGGGTTTGTACTTAAGGTACAGATCCACCCTCCCTCCCGTGCTACCAGATCTATTCAATTTAAGGTACAGCCCAGGTGGTCATCAGACCAAAGAGACCTTACATAATAAAGTATAAAAAGTGAAACTCACCAGTCAAAGCCAAAGTATTCATTGGAGGTTTCTATCCATGTGAAGAGCATGATCACAGAGAAGATAAATGCAACCACCAGGAACACACAAAAGCATTGTTCTCTCTGGGAAGAGAAAGAATTCATCTAACTTATCTCTCTTTATCCATACTACCTCAGTAACTTCTGTATACATTTCCAAAGGTCAGCACACTTGCAGCGACATAAGTGGAATAATCTCTCGTTTCTACCCCTACTGAATGCTGTATATACCTATTTTTAATATTTACAGCATTCATTACATTGACCTGTAATTATGTGTTTGCTTGTATCTGATGCCATGCTATTTCTTGATTAAGGAAAAGAAACTTTTCTAACATCTCACTATGGCCAATACCTAGCACTGCTTTTGTTTTGTTTGATTTTTCTTTCTTCCTTTGGTGGCTTGATCCCAGGGAATGCTAGGCAAGCACTATCACTGAACTTCACATATCCCCAGTGCTTTATTAAAGTATTATTTTGAGATAGGGTCTCACTAAATTACCCGGGCTGGCCTCAAATTTGTAATACTCCTCTCTCGGCCTCCTGAGTAGCTGGGCTCACAATGAGTGCCACCATGTCTGGCTCTACCAGTTTCTTAAATGTAGTTGGCACTGAACAGTCATCTGTTGAATTCCTCCACTTTTCCCTCTACCAAATGTGTTTTCCTGATCCATTCCTTAAGTAATTCATTCATTCAACATTTATTACTGTATTTGGTCACTTATATACCCACTTGGGAGAACAATGAGGAAGCACAGTTAGGGGGAAAATACTTTTTGGAGTAACTATTTAATAATACAATGTTAGGGACTTAACAAGCAATCTTCATTTGATTTATTTCTCATTAGAAGAACAGAATTAGGTATTGTTAACCTTATTTTGCAGAAAAAAACTGAGAAAGATATGTATTTGGCTTAAGATCATACAGCCAAGGAGTAGCAGGGGCAGGTTGGAACCAGGATGTCTTAGCTCAAAGCCATCATGGTGGACCTCTTTATGGGTGAGGTATTCAAACTGAGCCTTGAAGGCAGCCCCCAACACTGAAAATCATTATCCCAAAGCCACCACGCCACATGTTGCCAAACACTTCCCGAGAAGATTAGATGTGGGTTGCTATTTGATTCATAATCTTAAGTGATTCTGATCACACAAGTAAAAAATCTTACCTCTTTGGATACCATTTTAGTGTGTTGAAAACAGAAAGAATAATCCCTGTCTATCTAAACTATGAGTTTATTATAAGGCATAAGAATAAAAATTAAATTAAATTAAATTAAAAGCATAAAAAGGGCATTCTAAAAAGCTGTAAGGGGTCCTATGCATATCCAGGCAGCAAACTACCATCCTCTGAGTGTAGAAGGGTAAAGAGCACAGATGACTCAAGTCTTATACATATTCTTTACATGAAACTTGGGTGGAATTTTAATAACAGATCATGTCACTCTCCTGCTCAAAAACCTTCCAGAGCTTCCTATTGTGTTAAAATGTTACCCAGACTTCCTCCACAGCCCACACTCCTACACCATGAGCCCCTTCCCTTTCCCACCTTATCCCCATCCTATTTATTTATTTAGTTATTTACTTACTTACTTATTTTGGTACGGAGGATCAAACTCGGACCTTGCACTTGCAGCGCAGGTGGCGGCACCACTGAACTAAATCCCTGCCCTCACCCTTCTATTTTATGCTCGATTTCTGGAGTCCAGCCACCCTGGCCACCTTTCTGTTTCTAAAACTAACCAAATATGTTCTCACATCAGGAGCTTTGTACTTACTAGTTCCTCTGCTTGGAATACTTTTGCCCCTAGGTGTACATAAGGCTGGCTCTATCTCTTCATTTAGGAGATAGATCAAAGGACACATTTTCAAAGAGGTCCTCTCTTCCTATATCAAGTTGCTAATATATTTTCCTACTCTATTTTAATCTTAAAAGCTCTTATTACTACCTGAAAGCATTTTCTTCATTTATTGTTTATTACCTAAGTCATTTTTCAAGGTCCAGGGCTTATGCTGTCTCAGTCAGAGTAGCATATATTGTTTAATACATTTTTGTTAAATAAATCAATTTCCATTTTCTTACTCTCATTTTTACCATGCTGGTTGGAAAATATCCAAAGGCTCCCAAATGTTTATTCAATAAAGTTCAAATATTTTATTCTGGCATAAAGATGCTTTATAATTTGACCAAGCCTTTCCAAACCTACTACTTATTATTTATTCCCTTACATATCCCTAAAGTCAACACTGGAAATTCATTTCTCCCTCAACATATCATTGTGCTTCTCTACCTCTGGACTTTTCCCTATCTTATTCCCTTCACCCAAAATCCCCTGTGCTATCATTTCTATAAGTCACTTCCACAAAGTCAATGACTCTAAGAACAGCTATGATAATAACATTTCGTGAGTAGTAATTGTGTGCCAAGAAAAATTCAAAGTTTTTTCCACAAATTACTTCTTCTGTTCTCTTAACAACCATAGTTGATCCTATTGTTATTATTTTAATTATTTTAATGAGGACTCTGAAGATGATAGGTAACTTGCCCAAGATCTCACAGTGGTGGGTTTCTAATTTGGAAACAGTCAGTAGTAAGCAATAAATTGAATCTGTGTAGTCTTCCCCTAGGACACAATATCTTATTGGTGCTTAGTTATATGCTATACTCCTTCCCCTAACCATAGAGGAAACTTGAAAATTATCTAGGGACCCTAAGAGTTATCTAATTCAATTCCCTCACTATAGAGAGAGGTTCTATAACCAGCCCAAGTTCACAGTCATAATTAGAATCCATACATACTCCTAGGCCATGATTCAGGGATTTTTCCATTATATCCCACTACTTTAAATGTTATTTTTCCTATGGAACCTCCCTTTATTGTTCCCTCTATGCTCTTCTTTATACCATTTATGTAACTTTCCACCTCACATCTAAGTAATAAAGATCTGTTGAATCTATCAACTTTTTTCCATATTTATCATCATTACTCCAGTTCAGGCCACCAATATTACTTATAAGAATACTGTTATTGTTTTATCTTTGAAGGTAAAGAGGCAGAGGCCTTCCTGCACTTGTTTTGTATATACTAATACATCCACCACACAATCAAATAATCACTGCAAAACATACCTCAGACCATATCACCAGGTTAAAATCTTTAGATACCCCTTCTCTGGTGCTGGCCACCAAACCCAGGACCTCATGCATGCTAAGTTCACACTCTACCACTGGGTTACATCACCAGCCCTCTTTAGGTATTCTTTATTTTCTGTGTGGCAAAAGTCAGTTCTTAAAACCATGTAACATTTGACTCATCTCCATCTCTAACTTCATTTACCATCATGCATTTCTACTTCAACCAAAATAAACCTGCAACTCTCCAAACTCATCATGCACTTTGACTCTTCCTCCAGTACCATTTCTTCTATCATCTACAATTATACACCTATCAAATTTGTATTACCTTCCCCTTCTAAATAGTTACCTTTAGACCCTTCCTTAACTACCTCTATGTGTGTGTGTACATACAATTAAAGCACTTCTCTCACTGCAATGAGGTTGTGTGTGTACTTGACCATCCCAGTAGAATGTGAATTCCATAAGAGCAAGAACCATGCCTGAAATACCTCTGTTATCCCCTGTGACTGACTAGTTTAGACACCGAGTATCTAGACATGAGAGATACAAGAGAAAGAAGAATAAATCTGTCTTCTCCAGAAAATCTTCCTGTCTTTGTTACTTTTCTCATTTCTGAGACAAAATACCCAACACCCAAAGTTAAAAGAGGAAAGATTTATTATTTTGGCTCCCAATGTTTAAAGGCTTCAGTCCATAATTGGCTGACTTCAAGGCAGAGTAGCATGGCAGAAGGGCATTGCAGAAGAGAAACAGTTCATGGCAGGTAGAAGGCAGGAAGGCAGCAAAGTAGCAAGGAAGCAGCAAGCAACAACAATAGCCCTCTTTCTGGCCCTTATGTTCTGTCCAGGCTACTGGACACTCACATGTGAGTAAAGTAGCACTCACATCCAGGATGGGACACCCATAGTCCTAGCATACACCATGAATCAATCTCAGCATCATATCCTTAATCCCACCATCACACGCCCTAGATCCAGCCATCTCCAAAAAGTCCTACATATGACCACAAGAGGCTTTGGGAAGACATCTAGATATAAGCCACAACACCTTGCATTTATGGTCTCTTTCCTTAGGCTCCTCCTGCAAGGGATAAGAAGTTAGAAATCCAATGAGTTGATTCTTGGACCCTAGTGGAACCATATTTATAATCAAGTGAAGGTAAAAAAATTTTGGCCCTCCAGTGTACTCATCAGTTGATATCTTATACCAGAGAGCCCACCAGAGAGTCCTAGTACATGGCTTAGAGAAAGAAAGAGGCCTTCCATGAGGCTAGGACACATGCCACCATTTGGCCTTACTAGAGCTCTTCATTAGGAAATATTTAGCACTAGCTTGACCAATAACAAAGGAGCTCCTTGTTTCCCACTTGCTGTTTTGTTTTCTTTTTTCTCATGAGCAAATTTTCACTTGGAACTCACAGAGAAAAGAGAATTAAAGATTCATGCATGCCTGCAATCCCTAGCCAAAAATAACTAATTGTGCCCAAACCTCACGTTTTCTTTAAGGTCCACTTGGTGAGTAAATGTAAAAGTGAATGAATAACATAAAAGACATAATATGGAATTGGAAAAGTAAAGAATAAAAGTGAGGGATTGGGGACATAGGTCAGTGACATAGTGCTTTGCTGGCATGTATGAGGTCCTGAGTTTGATCACCAACACCATAAAATAACATAATATTAAAATAGTAAAAGTTAAAGAAAAAGAATACAGCTAATACACGTTTCAGTAAATTTAACTCTGGCTCCAGAATTGGCATAGAAATTTCATGGAAGAACTGGAGCCTGAGCAGTCCCAGTCCTAGACAACTGTAATAAGCCCTTTGTGATGGCCAGGGTCCAGCCCATCTCCCCACATCTGAGAAATGTGACCCAGCTCCTTGCCATCTCTCCGTACCCGAGTGCAGCAACAGGATCCAAGTTTAGTTTTTTCCCATCGTCTGAATTTCCAGTGGCAACTGTAACAGCCAGTAAGGAAGGTGATATAGCACTTGTAACTGAAGATGCGTGCAATCTGTGGATTGCGATTTTCTTCCTCTTTTCTTCTGGATTCAATCCTGCTGACCTTTCTAGGCATGATTCACCCTTTTGCTGGAAGGACACATAAAGCAATCAGATCTATTATAACTCCTGTTGATATATCCTACCCCACCATCCTACAGAAAATCCTATTAAAGATAGATAAAGAATAAAACCCATTTACAATAAGCAATAATATACTGGATTTAGGGCAAAACATAAATCAAAGCTCCACCTTACCTTTTGTACTAACTTCTTGAGTGTTTTTTTCTTACAGTTATTGCACCATTCCAGTTTTAGTTTTCTCATCTCCAAAATGGAACTGTATTCCTATCCTAGCCAATTCATAGATGCTAAAAGCATCAAATTCAATGA